AATCCAGTTGATGGTGATGTTAATGGTGGAGGAGAAGGATGGAGATGGAGGATAATTATTTTTTTCCCTTTATTTTTAAACGGAGTAGAACGAAAGTGCAAAAGGCAGGGGCATATATGGAAAGTGTGAGTAAATTTTACACTTCCTTAAAAATGAGTACCGGTCAAACCGGGAAATTAAATATAGGACGGAGGGAGTACAATACTTGTCACCTGATACTAAAAAATGGAATCTGGAACTCGTTCTCATGGTTTTCTAAGGCGTTTGAGGGGGTCTGCCTTGAAGTGGGAGTGTTAAAGGCGATGGATTTAAGCCTCATGTTGGTATTTTGAGGCTTACGCCCTAGGTGGATGAGGCATACAGAGGCACATAAGGCACAAGACTTAAACAAGGCTTAAGCTTCTTAAACTCCATAATTTATTCTTTCAAATTTCAAATGGGACGGTTGGAGTATTTATTTATATCAATGTAGATTCGTTGGTCATTAACTATTTGATGCTTTTATCTTGAATATATATCGATTTAAAGTGTGTTGGATATATTTTTATTGAATGTGTATGATTGGGTGTTGCGGATCTACTTTTAACTATTCTTGGTCTCCATTTACCTTTGTACTAGAAACTTTCACATTTGGAAAAATATGATATAGTCATTGGGGACAACCTTGAGGACTTTTCTTTGGCTGAGGATATGATAGGATTAAAGTTTGCTTTTAAACACTTAGGTTTGTTATTTGTGGAGGAGAGACATATTCTATGCTTGCTATTTCATTGTTTATAGTTTTCGGAAAATGACATGGGGATACTCTCACTCAAACCAGCTAAATATCTTTTGTATATCATTATTGCATTATCATGACAATATATGTATATGTATGTGTGCATGCTTGTGCATATTAATAAATATACATAAAACTATGAGAGCTAGTGATTTGGAAACTAAGAGAGCTTGTTGCATACAAAGACATTTTGTTCCGAGGGGGGGGGGATGGAAGATAGCTCAAAGCTGGCTAACCAACTTCATCTATGCAGGAAGCTAGAAACAATGATAATGGGCGGGCACCTCATTCAGCTTGGAGAAATTATGATGATTTCAATGAGTACTTTTGGTAAGGTCTTTTTTGAGGTTGTATAAGTCTTGAATTCTCCTTGTCATAGATACAATAAATAATTCGTAGTCATCTTATCTTTAGTTGTATTTCTTCTTTTATAGGTCACTTAATTGCTTTGAACTTAGTTGGCCATGGAGAATAACTTCACCCTTCTATTTAAAGCCGACACCAAGATCAAAGGTCTGATGCATTCCTGTTTGCATTCATAATGTGTTTAAGTGAATTTTCTTTATAAGGTTATATTAAATCATGATAGTTGAGTGCAGGTTTAGTGATATACAAAATCATTCATAAAAGAAAGTAGAAATAGAACTTTGTACAAGATTTTCATTTGGCTCAAGTTGCCAAC